CATATATGGCCAGTTTTTTTGCATTCGCAAGCTTATAACAGATCGCAATATTAATCTATTTATGCGGAAAATAATATATTATAAAGAGAAAGATAAGTTCTTCCATCTACAGTCAAATTGAATCATTTATCTTTACGTACATTAAAGAAATTGTCAAAAGTCTCCAATTTCATTGTGACATTACCTCGGAAAAAGGTAATATACACAGAAATTTGTCAGCTGAACATCAAATTAGAACACTTTTTAAAGAGGTGACTTATTATGGAACGCTTTCATATTAATCTTAGGAATAACAATATCGAAATTCCGTCGCGGACATTATTTATTCTCCACAATGTGGTTTGCTGTTTTGAGGCATTTCTAAATATGAGACAACAACTAAGATCCAAAAACACTTTCAGTAAATGCTCTTTATGTATATCTGATTTTAAAGGTTTTGCTATAAACGTCGAACAGAAGCCGACTTTATAAAATGACCACATGAAGACACTGAAAACGATGAAAATTATGCCACAATATTTTGGAAGATATTCAATAAATACTTATCCACTAATGGTAATATGCACAAAATATTTTGACTTAAGAAAAGATCTTTTCATATAAAGAAATTGGTTACATTCCGTTTTCAAATTACAGGAAGATTTAAACTTATTGTTCTAAGTTATAGCTATGTTTTACGACTACAGAACTTGGGAATTAACAAACACTTAGTACTTCTTATATTTCTTTCAAATTTTAAAGTTGCCTAATGCTGTTCATTATTATTTCTAAGTTTTCGGAAATTTCTTCACGCCGGTATGCGAGGAAATATCAAACATTTACAAACTTAGTCAAGTTTCTTGCAGCACTCGCAATACTGTATGTGTACTCGTATCCGGAGAAAAAAACGATAAACCCTTTTGTGTATTTGTATTATGCACTTCTTAAAATTTCCTACATACCCTTTTGTTCACATCTGCCTTGATTGGGCTTACGCTCCTTCCCCACGCGCATACAGTATGGTCAAGAAATAGTGCAACTTTCATGATGAAATTTCACTTGATAATTTAGCATATATATATGGTCACGTTACTGTGATCCATCAAGTGGATTTAATCTTGCGATAGTCCTTTATTTCGCCCTCTTAGTTAGGTTTATTAAGCATAAGGGCATTAATTTTGGCGAAATTGGGAGTAGTCTCATATCGAAGGAGTTTCCTACGCTATTAAGCAGGACAGAACCAAACTTTTCATCAATATGCATTGTGCTGTGGAAGAACTCTAAAATAGGTAAGGGAAGTTTAAAACATGTCCGTTCCAGAACCGGAAAATTTAGTCCGAAGTTGGTCAAATGTAAGTGAAGCCGATTTTAAGGAATCGCATTTATTTCCAAACACAAGGGATAATTTCAGTTTTAAAAATTATTTTTTGCCAAACTGTGAAGTTTTTTGGTATAAAATGCAGTAAAAAACGTTTTGAGCGCATTTTGTTTTATTGCAGCAAGTTTTAGAAGGTCGTAAGCAAAACTGGCAGAAAATATACGTTTTGTACATTTTATTTCCGCTTATGCGCAATTTAGAAACGAAACAGACAGAAGAATATGAAATAAGTCAAAAAATGCCAAATATATGGTCATTCTTTTTGTTTACGCAAACTTATAAAAAAAGCCTGGAAATAATTCACTACGGTGGAAAATAATCCAATATAAAGCGTTAAGTGGATTCTTTCATTTCTAGTCAAATTGAATCATTTATCCTCAGGTAGGTTAAAACATTTGTCAAAAATATCCATTTTCACTTTGACATTACCTCGGAAAGGGTAATATGCACAGAAGGTCGTCAGCTAAATATCTTAGTCAAGTACTTTTTAAAGTGGTAACTTATTATAGAAAGTTGTTTTATTAATATTAGGACTAATAATATCAGACTTTTGTTGCAGACGTCCTTTTTGCTCGACAATGCCTCTTGCTGTTTGAAGGAATTTCTAAATATGGCCCACATGGCCATCTTCATATGAACTAATATCCAAAAACTCATTTCTTCTGTAAATCCATTTAATTGATATCTTATTTTAAATGTTTTGACATAGACGTTGAAAGAAATCTTGATTTATACACTGAAGCCGCAAGACACTGAAGAAGCTGGAAAATTTATCGGCATTTAAAAAGGCGATGAGACTTAAATTTATTGTTCTAATTTATAGCTATTTTTACGTCTACGGAACTTGCGGATTATTAAGAAAATGTCACTCTTCTTAACAAACAATTAGTACTTCTTATATTTCTTTTAAGTAACAAATTTGCCCAAGGTTGCTCATTATTACTTCTAGGTTTTCGTACATGCGTTAACCCCGGTTTGCGAGTAATTATCAATATTTTGAAAACTTCGGCATGTTGTACGAATTTCGGGCCGTACTGTAAATTGAGGAACCTTCGCATCTTTTTTTTCAAAGAAACGCTGAAAGCCAGTCGGGGACGGTTTCTTTTCTACTAGATTGGCATTTGAACACTTTAACAAGCGATGTTTTCTATGGAACTTGGTCCTAGGGTAAACTGAATGGTCAGTTGTTCGTGTAAGTAGTCTAGCCTGACCAAATTTTAGCAACCTTGCAGGCTCTCCTGAGGCGTAGTGCCTGCCACCGACTGCAACAACGATTTATTTGTCAATGCCGACTGCCTTCAAGGTCATATGCCTTCGCGGTGGTTGTGCCCACGCGATGACCTAAACCTCTGGAGGGGACACAGACGCACGCGAGCTTCCGCGCGTGCCAACTGGTCGCAGATTCTTAAGGGCCACTTAGGTTCGCCACGGCAGGTGACCCTATCCCAACGCGCTTGACAATCACTTGTAGGCCACTACTTACTAGCACTTGTACT